AAACAGTGAGTTCTAGTTCCAGTTCAGCAGGGTAATTGGCTGGGTGATTTTGGGCCAGTCACCAGGAAACAGTGAGTTCTAGTTCCAGCTTAGCATGGTAATTGGCTGGGTGATTTTGGGCCAGTCACCAGGAGACGGTGAGTTCTAGTTCCATCTTAGCATGGTAATTGGCTGGGTGATTTTGGGCCAGTCACCAGGAAACAGTGAGTTCTAGTTCCAGTTCAGCAGGGTAATTGGCTGGTGATTTTGGGCCAGTCACCAGGAGACGGTGAGTTCTAGTTCCATCTTAGCATGGTAATTGGCTGGGTGATTTTGGGCCAGTCACCAGGAAACAGTGAGTTCTAGTTCCAGTTCAGCAGGGTAATTGGCTGGGTGATTTTGGGCCAGTCACCAGGAGACGGTGAGTTCTAGTTCCATTTTGGACATGAAAACCAATCGGGTGTCTTTGGGCTACTCACCAGGAGAAAGTTCTAGTCCCTCCTTGCACATGAAAGCTAGCTGGTTGAATTTGGGCCAGTGACTCAGCCCAGCCCACCTTATTGAGAGTAAAGAAGAGAAGGAGGGGGCATCACCATCTTGAGTTATTTATAAAACTAATAAAGGTGTGATAAAAACAAACCAGCAACAAACAAAGAGCTGGTCCCCCATACCAAACTTAAATTGTTCAGTTGGAATTGTTTGTATATTGTTCTACCCCTTTTGGGCTGGGCGGTTGCAAAACAGAAATAAAATGAATGTTCTTATGTTGGCAGGTGCGTAAATTGGATTGCAAAGTGCATAAATATAATACGGGTTTATGTAAAACATTTTGCAATGTGGGTTGAGCAAAGTTTTGAGCTGATAATTCCCATAAATGACATTTGATGATGGAACCAGCTTTGGATTGCTTAAAGAATCTGTTTCCTTGTTCCTTCTCCTTTTCTTCCTGTTTTTCTTCCCAAAGGGAAGATGACAACTGTTGGCTTGTGGCACTGTGTGTCGATGCTTTGTGATGCTCTTTCTCTTGGAGGCTCGAAGGACCAGCTTCAAACATCGGACACCTTAAAAAGGGAAGAAATAAATGAATGAAATTAGCTGTTCCCCCAGTTACACCCTGGGAAGTGGCCGTGCTGAGATTCTCACACCAGAAAAAAAAACTCAACTAGATTCAGACAACACGTTGATCCGCTCTGAGAAATATCTCTGCCTCTTTTTAACGCAACCCACAATGCTTGGCCAGTTCTCCTGTGGCTTAGTGTGCCATGCACAGGAAGCTGGGATGGGGGTGGGTGGGTTTCAGCTTGCACAATACAAATCCAGAAAGGGTGGGGGTCCCTCAGTCCCAAATTAAAGGGTGATAGAAAAAATGATTCAGATAAGGAGAGGTGATTTTACAGATAAATCTACATTAAAACAGAGTTGGCTGCTTTGTGCTTCAGCGCTTCTGCAAAATTCAGCCATTCGTTCAGCAGATTGTGTGAACGGGGCAGCAGTTCCCGTTTCTTAACCTGCGTTTAGATCCTGGCATATTGTGGGAACGCAGCGATGCCCTCCATTGGGAGGATGCTGGGAGCTGTTCATTCCTGCAGGTTCTGAAGGGACGTTAGAAAAATCTCGCTCAGGAAAAGGGAAAGCCAGCCCGTCAACAGCAGCCCCCAGACCCTGAGGAGGTGGGAGGGGGATCCCCTTGTCTGGACACCCTCAAGGGGGTGGGGGCCAATCAGCCACGTATCCGGGGTTCTTTGGATTGCAGCACTGAGTTGGGGCTGGACTGGATGACCTCAAATTGCAGGATTCTGTCTCTAAGATGTGACCTGGCAGAAGGCAAATCCTGTGAGATTAAAATTCTTATGTGCAAACAAGCTACATCCTGGTAGTTAGACCAAAAGTCTCTTCTCACGCAAAGCAATTTCTCTCATTGCCCCCCCCCCCCCC